TATTTACTGAGCCTTCATCACATAACGCTTTATAGATCAGAATATTCCAAGTAACCCTCAAGTGGAATGCAAATAGACGAATCTATCATTAAGTCTCATTTGATCTTTTATAGGTTTATTAGATTTAGTTGTTACACTGAGCTGAAATATAAATATTTGATGTCAGACCGTCGGTTGATTACAAAACATCCTCATAAAACTTCTTTAATTTATAAATCTATTATTATTCTTTGATCCGAAAAACCATGTAAAATATACAATTTTGCCCACGGATGGAAATTCTTGGTGACTGCTGTTCTAACATAAAAGAATGAATATATCAGGTTATTCAGGAATGGGCAGTTTATAAAATGAAAGAGCTCATAAATAAATTTAAAAAATGGAAAGTGATAATTCTTGGCTAATTTTAAATAAATTGCCTAAAATTTTCCTTTTGTTATAGCATGAAATAATTATTGCGGTGGTCAATTCTGTAGCAAACATAATTTACAACTGTAATTGTCATGCCCGAAATCATTTTTGAAAAAAAAAACATATTTTACATCTGAAATTGTTAGGCTGTTAGTCATTTCTGTAACAAGCATATTTTACGGCTAGAATAGTCATGCTGATTGTCATTTATGTACCAAACATATTTTATGTCTAGAATATTCACGAACACGGTCATTTCTGTACAAAACATTTTAAGAAGCACGTTTTATGCTGATATATGGGCAAGATAACTGTTAAGCCTAGGTTTGAACAGGTTAAGCTTCTAATGATCCGGGGATCATCCTCTTGAGAATCGGTCCCACAAAATAGATATTCGTGGGAAGCTTTTCCAGTGGAACTTACATCTGAACAAAAGAATACCCAGGAAATGAAGGTGTTTTTCTTCAATTTACATGGCATGACAGTGTTTTTTTTAATAATAGTAATATGGAAGACGGTATTGGTCCACCGTATTGGGATAAAAAGCAACAATATTACGATGGATTAAAACTAATCACAAAAATAATGATAATGATATTATGCAAGTTCTTATAACATGTACTAAGAGCTAAAATATGCCTAGAATTTTTAAAATTATTATTGATTATGGAATCAAATATATAAATGATGACCAAAATGAAGAACAAAATTGATCAACTCTGTTTTGACATTTTTTCACTGACCTTGACATTATTGAGTCTTTGAGAAAGACTTTTGGAAGCTGCGTGAGGCGGCCATTGGAATAATTTTTAAACACGCAAACGAAAATGATTGTCGTATGGTAAGAAAAAACACTCTTAAACAAATATGGGTACCACAAACACCGTGACGTTTAAGAAAAAACAAATATGACTCGTACATTATATATATATATATATCTCATTATTTATTTAAAAATTATAACATAAATATGTTATAAAATCACTACAAAAATAGCCATTTTGTTTCAACACCGCCTGTGTCTTATCAATTGATGATGTTGAGGTGTTGGATGGCAACTGGTCAAGGAGAAGGACAACTCTGAATTCAAAACCTGAGGGGGGTGTTTGGGAACCTTGTGGCACATAGTGCACCAGGTTTCTGTATTCGGCCCTTCAAAAAGTGTGGATGGTCCTGCACAAAACCTTCACCACTATAATCGAATCTCATGTGCCGGTGTCGGGCTGTCAATTTCCTGGAAACTGATCTCCATGACCCTCATACGTTGAACCCGACGGGAGAATCGTTTTTTTTTATTTTTTATATTTTTATATATGATGGACTCTCCCGTCGGTTTTGACGTATGAGGTTCCGACAACTTTGTTTATTTAACCTTGTGTGTGAGTCGCAAATGACATTTCAGTACCGCTAGTGATTTGCAAAGAAGTCCACAGATTGTGCAAGAGTGTGGATTCTTGGAGTATATGGCTGGAACAGTAGCAGATATTTTATTCCTTTCCCTAGTTTGACGAAGCTTGACAATGTTTGATGCCATTGTAGCATGTAGTCTTCCATTCATTACGATCAATTACGATGTTCTCAATGCAATATATATATATATATATATATATATATATATATATATATATATATATCCATCATTCAACATTTGATAATTTCAAGGAAATAAATGCATTGACTCACCCCTCCATTTTCCGATTCTGCGTAACCAGGTGGACGCATAGATGTTCTTCTGATTCGCCGTATAGGTTTAGCTTTCTTCGCCATCTGCAGGGAAGAGAAAGAAGAAAAGAAAAACATTAGTTGATACAGACAAATAAACATTGCATCAAAATGAAGACCGGTTGCGTGGGACAGGCTAAATTTATGAAATACAACACGGCAGCCCACAGAACAAAATTAAATTCCCTTTAAGAGAGGCATTGGTACTTTTCCGTTACTTTTTATCGCAGATTGCCACTCTACGTTTGAGGGGGTCAAAAATAAATAATAGACATCTGAAGAGAGTTTATCAGAATTCCCTTACCCTTGAGACGTGGCCTTTTCAACACAAGCGATTTACGTGTTAGTCTACAAAAGCCAAATATTATGAGTCATTATGCTTTTGGACTATACATATATACTTTAGTTCTCCGAATGACAATGTACTCTACCGAGTATGTTTATATTTTACGTTAGTTGATTACAGTGAGGCGATCATACCAGGATTCATTCTCAGCTGTCACAATATTAATAACATAAGATATGCAGATTGACATAGATTTGTTAGCAGACATAGAAAGAAACCTACATGAATTTCTACAGAATGTAGTAAAGTAGGCAAGAAGAAAGGACTATAGATAGCAATTGTAGGAAAACTAAATGTTATCAGGAAAATGGAGAGCCCAGGGTGCGAACTCTGAATTGGAGACACCAAAATCAAGCAATTACAAAAATTAAAATGTTCTAGAAAGTGTCTCAACAAACGGCTGTGTTGGGACGCCGAAAAACAAACGTAAAACAAATAAATAAAACATGTTTTCAAATTCGCAATTTCTTCACATCGAAAAAATTAGACAAGCAAAAGCAGATTTTGCTGTTGCTCGATGCGGACGTAGTGGTAAGCATATCCAATCCTGTGACATTCACACCAAATGGGAACACGACAAAACTTTTTTTCTGGAGCCTAACTCCGATAAAAATGAATAACACAAGCAATTTCTGTTTTCTAAAATGATTTAGAAATAACAACCTTCCAAAATCACCTATAAGGTTGACTTTATTCTGTATGAATGACAAATGTCATTATATCAATCAACTATATATATATATATATATATATATATATATATATATATATATATATATATATATATATATATATATATATATATATATATTATATTTTTAAAATATGTATTCTTCATGAAACAGATATTACCATGTTTCGAAACTATAAATTAAAATTTAAATTAAACTTAAAATTAAAGATTTTGTTCCATTCTCAAGCGATGTTGAATAACTTTCGAAAAAATGATTTGCTTTTTTAAAGCTAAATAATATTATATACTTTTAGTTGGAGATGAAGGGATGACAATAATTTAAAAAGAGTGTTGCCTTTTTTGACGAATCAGGATAGAAGTCTAATTTAAGATGGCAAAGTCTAAATATAGGCTCAGGGGTCAGGTGTAGATTTGTAATTACTTCCTGTCGTTTCTAGCTTCCTTATATGAGGACGGGTCACCCTTACTGTTTTTTAAGGGTATACATAAGATACAGTACAATACATTGGCATTCTTATTCATTTTTTATTTATTTAATTTTATTTTTATAAGATCCGTTGGGGTTGTCTTAAAAGGAGCTTCAAATGTAATTATGTTATATATTTATATTTTGTTTGTAAAGATGTAAAATACTATATTGTTTTCCGTGTAATATTCTAAAATAAAGAATGTTGGTCTACTTTGAATTGATCCTTCTTTTAAATTCAATGTTAGGAACGTTGGAATTGTACCCTATTCCTTCTCATCTTACCGGGATATATATATATATATATATATATATATATATATATATACGAGGGTCATTCAATAAATAAGGTGAATTTTTCGGTATAACGACTTCTAATACAGATAGAAGCTTACTTTTTTATTTTTATTTTTTTTTTGGTTTACTTCTTTTTCACATGGATTTAATTTCTTTTGCAGATTAAAAAATTCATTATTCATTTTTTTATTTATTTAATTTTATTTTTATAAAATCCGTTGGGTTTGTCTTAAAAGGAGCTTCAAATATAATTATGTTATATATTTATATTTTGTTTGTAAAGATCTAAAATACTATATTTATTATATTTATTAGTATACTAGATACGGTATTTATTTATTTTTTGTAAAAAGAGGCTGCATTTTGCTTTTAAATCTGAAAAAAATAGTTCACTCACCAGTAATTTACAATCGCCTGATGAGATGCGTCTATACGCATCGAAACACGACTGCAATTGTGGAGCGATTTTGACATGTTTTCCGTGTAATATTCTAAAATAAAGAATGTTGGTCTACTTTGAATTGATCCTTCTTTTAAATTCAATTCTAAAATTATACATGTATGGGTATTTTTTTTATATATATTTTGCATATGTATGTATATTTTCCACTAATATTATCTATATATATATATATATATATATATATATATATATATATATATATATATATATATATATATATGAACAACTCACTGTATATCTAATCAAGTAAATCTCATATATATATATATATATGTGTGTGTGTGTGTGCGTGCGTGTGGGTGTGCGTGCGCGCGTGTGTGTGTCATTCATTAATTCGTTTTCTATAGCTTATCAATCTTTTGCAGGTTATTTAAAACCAGGAATTATTTTTAGATGATAAGAATTTGTTTTTAAGATAATAATGGTTCAGTGATACAAGTCAAACTAATTAACCCATAGCTTGGGAGAGAAGAGGTGGATTCATACCTTTACCACTGAATTTTGCGCGTAATTGAATATAAGGAATCTAAATGAAATTAGAACTTGACTCTCCGATTAACAATTCCGAACCATTATCCATTCTATCAGCCGCATATGCAAGCTTACAACACCTGGTATTCCCAAGCGTCCACCCATCTCGGTACTGACCAGGCCCGACGTTGTTTAACTTCGGTGGCCGTACGGAAAGCTGTTTTGCAACCTGATACGGCCGTGTGCCTTATATATCTGGAGAAAAATTCTTATTCTATGCAAGTTGTTTATGCAGCTTTTCTTTTTACGATATTCCTTTTTGAAGTCTGTCTGGAGGAATTGTCTGGATTGTTTGTTGTCCGGGGATATTTTTGAAGCCTTTTCGTGGCCGCAAAGATAGTATATTTGGATTGTTTGCTATACTCTTCTGTCTGAAAATACTAGTCATATCATTCTTAGCGAAGTTTTCTTTTTTTTATTTAGTTACTTAAAAATAACGAAAGAAAAAGCGCTCGGGAGAAAAACACTATGGACTGCCTTCAAAAAGACCAGTTGTCAGGAGACAAGAAAGAATTTGAATAAAAAAAACTTTAAATGTAAGAAATTGACAAAGCATAGAACTCTTCTAGCATTTTCTTAAATTACCATTTAATTTTTCTTAGCAAATAGCATTGTCTTTTATACAATATGTATCCATTTACATCCGCTTCCGTTTAACATCTGTGGCTTCCATTGATATCAAATCTACATGTCATCATCCATTTACGCAAAAATAATTTCTTAATTTTTGTTTCTTCCCTTAAATTTAACGTAGATAATATGTGATTGTTTGATCTAATTAAAGCCCACAAACCTTATAACCTTCCCACCCTTTTCTTTTTTTTTTGTAAAAAGAGGCTGCATTTTGCTTTTAAATCTGAAAAAAATAGTTCACTCACCAGTAATTTACAATCGCCTGATGAGATGCGTCTATACGCATCGAAACACGACTGCAATTGTGTAGCGATTTTGACATGTTTTCCGTGTAATATTCTAAAATAAAGAATGTTGGTCTACTTTGAATTGATCCTTCTTTTAAATTCAATGTTAGGAACGTTGAATTGTACCCTATTCCTTCTCATCTTACCGGGATATATATATATATATATATATATATATATATATATATATATATATATATATATATATATACGAGGGTCATTCAATAAATAAGGTGAATTTTTTCGGTATAAGGACTTCTAATACAGATAGAAGCTTACTTTTTTATTTTTATTTTTTTTTGTTTTACTTCTTTTTCACATGGATTTAATTTCTTTTGCAGATTAAAAAAAAACTTTGAGAGTTTTGGCGATTAACAAAGATGGCCGACCAAGAAGCATGCTCCAGGATTGAACAGCGGTCAGGTATCAAGTTTTTTGGTTGCAAACCAGTTGAAATTCATTGGAGAATGTTAACTGTGTATGGTGCCACATGTTTCAGACAAAACATGTCTACAAGTGGGCTAAATTGTTTAAAGAAGGACGGAGCAGTGTTGAGGATGAAGACAGGCCTTGGAGGCCTACAGAAGTGAGGTCTCCTGAGGTGATCAAATCAGTCAATGACCTCATTCAGTCTGACAGAAGAACTACTGTGAACTTCTGAGGCAGGTCAAGAAAGACATAAAGAACAAACGCAGGGGTCATCAGTCAATCAAGTATTGCATCAAATATATATTGCTGTGTGTAACATTTGTTTGGTGGGGAAGAAAATGATGATTGATTTTAAATCACTGACATAATTAGAGGAGGATAATGATGCAATTCAGTATTGCTTAACGAGCTTGTGACCTCCATCTGCCGGCTTTCTCGTTCTATATTTTGGATAGAAGAAATTCCCTTGTTCAAATTGAAATTTAATTTAAATCCAAGGGAAAATATTTCAGCGCTGGGTGTGCAAAAACAGCTTGATCTGAAACCTTTCATATATATTTGATGCAATACTTGATGCAATACTTGATTGAATGAATTGATGGACAGATTTCAAAATTGACGTGAGAGTCGAATTGTCGCAATAAATATGTATTGTAAGGCACTACCCACTGATTGGTGATTTTTTTTTTTGTTCAACTTGACGTCCATCTTGTCTCAATTTCATCTTGATGATGTGACATCTATCTTCAGGCTTTATCCTTCTATATTTCGGATAGATGTCTTTCTCTTGTTCAAATGTAAATTTAATTTAAATCAAAGGGAAAATCACTGAAGATTGTGCCCCACGGGGACCCCCTTTGATCAAAATGAAAGATAGTTATCCAAGTTCCCTAAGAGTCATTCCATTGTTCAAATTAAATTTAATTTAAATCAAAATGAAAAAAATAGTGCGGGGTTTGTGTCCCCCACCTTGAACCCCTTTGGTCAAAATGAAATATATATATATATATATATATATATATATATATATATATATATATATATATATATATATATATATATCCAATTACCCTATGAGTCATTCCCTTGATCAAATTTAAATTTAATTCATATCAAAGAGAAAAAAAGATCTTCAAATATACTTATACCCTGTGTAATTCAGTTTCAGAATCGATATGGTTATGGTGGGGGGGTTATCTTCAAAACAAAAGAATTCGATAACAAACAGTCAAATAGACGTTACAACTCATGAATAGATGAGAAACGATCTATGCAACAGTAAAAAATACAATCTATGCAACAGTAAAAATATATAAAAATGCATTTTTATAGTAAAATTACCAGCAACACATTTTAATCAACTACAAACTACATATCTAAAAAATATGCCTTTATACTGAAATTATAAAATTTTGTACAAGGTATCTGGAGTAAAATCATAAAATTACGTACAAAATATTTGGATTTCGCCATTAAATAACCAACAGAAGTTTATATATCGTTAAACAGAATCAACCAATCAACCCTCCACTATATCACGTGGAGTATCACTTGAGTTAAGCAACGCTGAACCCGGTCATTACCTAGGTAGGTAACCGCTGGCGTATACCAGGTGCTGTAAGCTTGGTTTTATGGGCGGTGGTGTAATTGATAACGGTTTGTAATAATATATCGGAAAGCCAAGTTTGAATTCAAGTCGGGTTTTTATATTCCCTTACGTGCCAAGACCCTTGGGAAAAGAATGAATTCGCATCTTCTTTAACCAGATTTATAGAGACGATGTCTCGACAAAGACACCCGGATTTAGAGTTGGCGTCTCGCGTTTTGTATCAGCTACCGAAAGAACTATCACCTTTCATAGACACCATAGCTCGGGACTCAGGGTTGGATATTCGGGATCTGGGGACAGCAATGCAGGACCGAAAAGTGTGGAAAGGGATTGTCAATGGAGTTCCGCCCAACCATAGAGAGGACGAAAGATGATGATGATGATGATGATGATGATCTTCCAAAATTACTCACAGCTGAAACATATGTTTGGGCTTTGAATAATCTCATAAAAGTTGATAAAATTTAAAATATAAAATCAATCACTTATATCCTTAAAATTTCAATACTTCCAATATTTGAGGATATTTTTCGAGCACTATAAAGGAACCGAACGTATTCCCATGATCTTTAGCTAGGGATTGTATTTTTGTGTCCAAATTTGTGTATGTGGCGAGCTTGAGTCCCAATAGACGATTATCGAATTTAAATTGCGTCTAAATTGTTCAGTAACTAGATAGGTGACCAATTGGGCGTACCAGCTGCTTTAATCTTTGCGATGCCGGTGGTGTAATGGAATACGGCGTTGAATTGGAAATCTGAATTCCAAGTTCGAATTTCAGTCGGGTTTGTTATATTCACTTACGCGCAAATGCCCTTGAGAAAGGCATGAATCCACATCTTCTTTCTCACCCTCGCCCCCAACAGTGGATGAATTAATAGGTTTTGTATCAGTAAATCAGTATTGTTTCTCTCAACTTTCTTACAATCTAAAAAATATTCTACAAAATGTTGTTAAGCCGTAAAAATATATCAATCCCCGAAGACGGTCATCATGCTTGAATAAAATTCATATTTTAATTTATCTTCATCATTTCATGTTACTATTTTTCTTATTTTTTTTTTTCGGAGGGGGGTATTGAATCCAGATTTTCTACTATTGAGATAGCAGATAATAGATCAATTCCCAAGTTCAGGTCATCTTTTTTTTTAATGGATTTCACCTCAACCAAATTAGTAAAGCAACTAAGACACAAGTGGCGTGGAACAATTAGGAACAGAACTATTACTAATGAGCAGGAAGAGATAATAGTAATCAGGAGGAGAGTAGATAGTGATTGACATTGTATTTAATTTTTTTGCAGATTAAAATTGGCTGGAAAGCATAAGACCGCAAAGGAGTTCCACAAGCGAGACGTGCGAGAAAAGAAACTGTTAGCATAGAATTTACGGCTACATCTAACAGTAAATTGATGAGATCTCGACACTTAAATTCATACAGTCTAGGTACCACAGCGTAGAACTCATCCGAACAATTACCATGAAAATATTTATAGAAAAGACACTGGGAGGCTACTTTACAGCGCTTAGCAAATGACTGAAGCCTAACTGCCAGAGCAGTACCGATAATAGTGCTGATTCTTCGTTGGATTTTATCAATGAGTTCAATGTAAATAACTTTGTCACCGGGCCATATATGGCAGCAATATTCTATGTATGGATGTATAGTAGACTTATAGATAGGTAAGATAGATTTGGGAGAGAAAATTTGTCTCTCCAAAACAATGAAACAATTTTCTTAGCAGCTGACATAGAAAAGAATTGAATATAGCCTTTCCACTTCATGTCAGCTGAGATCGCTAGCCCTTGAAGTTTAGCATCGGCGATTCTGATTGAAAGCTACAATTAATATTAAGTATGTTATTTAATAATATTAATGTTAAGTATCTTCATATTTTAAATGCTTTTCATGTGGATAGATAATCGAATCTGAAGATCAGATGTAAATTTTTATAAATACTTTACAGATATCCCTTGTGGAAACATTGATTTGCGTAATATGAAACCTATATAATGTATTGGATATTGTGAAGGTGAAACATAGCAGTCGCCTGAGATCAAGATGTCCAATAAATACAACACATTTATAGACCAGGAGAAATAGATATAAAAATCGATGCTATAGTTAAATGTTAACGAGTTAATGTCCGTATTTCTACGATAAAACTCGATAATCATAAAAGACCGAGGAAATTCGCAGATGTTTGTGAAGGAAATGTCTTTAA